TCATATTTAATATTATTGTGCATTCTGCAATGTGGGTTTTTTTATGTGCAAATCCAAACTAAAACTGAACTGAAATAAAATAGGGTTATTTGATTAGTTTACTGATTAACCTAAATAATTGAAAAAAAAATATTATTATATTATACAAAATATCTAGTATTTTAATATTTTTTATATAATATCTTATATTATTTTTTGGTTGAAAATACATAATATATATGTGTTTCTGAGCTCACAGACCTCTCTGAGGCAATTACTTTCTAGCCCTCATCCACAGGCAGGCACAACAACTGCAGAACTAGCCCATCCTTCTCACTTCACTCCTCTTGCTTGGAACTGAACTTCAAGCTGGTAACTTGGCTAAAGCAATTGTAGCAGCTCCAGCACCTATTGATTTAGCTCCTTCTAACATGTCGAGTCCCGACATGACATTGTTTCGCGCTTTTCTTATTAGCTGGTAAACTAGAAGACAACTTCTCTGGCAAAGTGTACTCAACTTCGTCGACCCTTTAGAAAAGAAAGAAGTGCTATACTTGACCGATGTTCTTGCTGCTGGTGGAAGCCAAACCTTGGAATGAAGCTTTTAGGCATAATCTCTCTCTGCTTTTCATAGGCCAGATGTGCCCGTAGGCTGAGCTGAGGAGAGAAAAAAACCATGAGCCCCTTTTCTGGTCTATTATGGTACTGGACTTTCAAGTCTGGATCTTTCACCAGCCAGCCTCCAGCTCCGATCGAGCTATGAACACGAGTAGGTAGGCGGCTAGGGGGGGAGAGGGTTTTTAGAGGTGAGCTGCGTAGCAGCGAATGGGCGTTCACGGCTCGACTTTTATGACTTCACTTCGCTTCGCTTCGTTCGTTGGGGAGAAAAGTAGAGGCTGCCTTTTCCATAAATCTTCGGCCGCTCAGTGCCGCTATTGGTGCGAGTTGTAAGGAGTCTTGGTCTCGAGTCAAGCTGGGGCCTCATTTCATTCTCGTAAGGGGGCACCGAAAAACCAGACAAGTTGCTCCCTCGCCTCGCAGCGGCGGCATTCAACTTTTAAGTTAAACTCTTTTAGAGCCTTTCTTTATGACTTCACTTCGCTTCGCTTCGTTCGTTCCCTCTTATTCTACGATAATCCAAGCTGCAGCTCCACGAGTCTGCTCGGTCGATTTCTAAGCCATTCGTCTCCCCTCTCGGTTGGCCTTTGCCAGCCACTAGAAGAAGTAAGAGAACCTACAATGAATGAACTTAAAGAACCGCATATTTTTACCGGATTGTACACCTTTGTGTCTAGCTATGTAGATGTGCATAAAGAAGGGACGGGACATCTCTCTCCTGGGGGAAGAGAGAGGCTGCCATCAGGCAGGAGGCTTCATTCCATCCAGCCTCACGAACTTCTTACTGGGGCAGTACTATAGGTATTTTCTAGTCTTTGGATGCACATGTTTTGTTCCTGTGCAGTTAAGCGCAAAATTGTCCCCAAGGCAACCACGATTCTATTCTATAAGGCTTTCTTGGATATGCTCAGTCCGGGTATAGATGCTATGACGTGAAATCCAAGAGACTCGATGTATCCTTAATGCTCTCTTTAATGGAAATTGAGTCGCCTCATCGGATTCGGACCCTAATTAATCAGCCCCGGGGAGAATGATGCAGGAGATGTATTGCGGCCTTCTCCTGTTCATCTCTTCAGCTGGTGTTCTGTCTTGGGGAGCTAGTAAAAATATTAAAAAAAACAATTTTTATATATTTTATAAATTGCAAATTTGGTCCATTGACTAAATTGATAAATAATAAAAATTCTTGAAATTACAATCAAGTCCCTGAAAATTATCTAAATATAAAGAAAAACCTAATCCTAATAAGGTTTCTGCCAAATCCATCGTGAATTGGGTTCCTTGGACGGGGTCGGCGGCAAGTGGTGGCGCGGCCGCGGTCGGACATTCGTCGGTCTCCCCGCAGTCCGACAATGTCATCATTTTGGTCGTTATGTGTGTGTGTGTGTGTGTGTGTGTGTGTGTTTCTTGGCATGCAATTGATGCAGATGGGCCGCAACGAAAGGCAGCCTTGCCAGGATTCTGGCAGTTAGGCATGCTATTGGTGGAGATGTTTGGCGTGGTTGGACATAAATTTTTTTCGGTCAGGGTTCTAGTTTTTTCAGGACGACGATGTTGTCTTCCGTTCTTGCGGCGGCGACAAATGGCGCGGTGGTTGGGGCGGCTTTGTGTGGTGTGGTCGGACGTGAGAGTGTCGAGCAAGGTGTGTGTACGTGTGTGGGTCTATCTGTGTGACGGGTGCAGACGGGCGGTCTACCGATGAATTGTTCCGACTGCGTTGTGTGTGTGTGTGTGTGTGTTGTGTGTGGTGTGTGTGTGTGCGCAAGAGAGGGTGGGTGGTGTGGGGTGAGGGGTGGTTGTTGATGGGATATGGGATGGGATAGGGCATGTGGTCCACGTGGCAGAAAGTTAGTGGATGTTGGTGAGTGGGTTGTTTGCTTGGGTCTCACGAGTTGATAATTAAATAAAGTACCCTTAATGAATATATAAATGTTGGGTTATCGTTGGTCATCCTATCTGATGACTTCTTATTTCTTTCACTAATCATCATTCTCACTTGAACTCAATCATATATATATATATATATATTTAACTAAAAGAAAATCAAAAAAGCAAAAGCATAAAATTATAAATAATTAAAAATGAATAAAAAAACAACGTATTCAACATCATTAGAATTATGGTTGGAATTCTATTGGAATATATTTTTACTGGAATTTGATCATGTTCTCGTAGCGAAAATTGCAATATAAGTTACAATTTTTTTGTTCATGAGAGTTATATGCCTATTTAAATATGATTTATTTGAACATTTTTTAGGATGAACGTGCGACTTAGTGTAGACTGGATACATAAAAGTATTATTTTTTATTGTTAATTGTTAAATAAAATTTATCTCATAAAAACTCAAAATGAAAGAAAAAAAAATCACAAAACTACTATTTATGAATCTCACTTTTTCCTCTCCCAATGTTATCGAATTAATATTTTATTATTTTTATACTTCGTTAATTTTAAATATTTTATATTTTTATTTATTATTCATTCATAATTTTAAATATATCTATCGTTTTTTAAAGGAAATTATTTTTTTACCTTTTCATCTCATTTACGGCGCTAGTATAAAACAAATGAAAAAAAAATAAAAATAAAAATCCAACTCCATCCAAATTTCTAAGAAGCTCCAAGTCTTCTCCATGTGCCATGCATGTTGCATATGTTATAAAATTCGTTGCCTTTATTGAATTGACACTACAAGTTTTGGGAATTGATTCTCCCAATATGCTTTGGTGAATTGGTGTGGTAACACGCCTCGTGCGCTATAATTTTTGTTCACAATTGGACTTTTGGTTAACATGTCCAACAAGAAAAGTTGCTCGATTCATTTCAAGTCATTTCATTCCATTAACTAACTACTTTAACTTTTTTTTTTAAATTTTAATCCCAAGTATAATTAGATTTTAATAGGAAAAAATTATGTAGATATTTAGTTTACTTAACAATCTCGTGGAGTTTTAATAATTAGTCTATTGCCTCTTGTTAAGGACAAAGGATCATAAATAAAATATATATATATATATAATTCTGGTGGATATAAGAAACATCTTTTGCATGAGCATATTATACTGTGGACTTCTGCAATATTTGGGGGAGGGAAGTTCCCTTTGCGTCTTCTCTCATCCATTATGTGTGCAAAACATGTGCCAGGAGCAGCAGCTAGAGTAGGCTAAATTATAGAATAATTAAGTTATTGGTCATCAAAAGCGTAAGTCATAGAAAGAGTTATAGGATATAAAAGTGTTGGGAACTTTATAGTAAAAATAAAAATAAGATTGATAAAATAATAAAAATGTAAGACATGTGAAACACAATTTCCTTAAAATAGATTCCTATTGAAACATAAACGAACGATTTTATTGAATGTCAATATCAAATCATCATCAGAATATGAAGAACAAATTACAGAGAGAATATAGAGAGGAATATTGAGAGCGGCTTGTACAAAACGAGAAAAGGAAAAGTGAGGTGTGGTAACTCTAATTGGGTTATTTATACTATGCTATATGTGTAATAATAAAATATTACAGGGGCTAAAATATGCGGAAAATATTATTAAAGGGTGGATTATTAATGTGAAAAGAAAAACAATTCCTCCCTATATATAATTCCCGATGTGCTGAGCCTAAGTGGGAAGCTCACACAGTTTGAGATCTTATGTGACAAATTTTCATGCTTTGTCATTTATCTTGGATGAATTTTAATATAATTGGAATCTAAAATTAACTAGGCATGAAATATCCATATATATACTGGATATTTATGATTTGATAAGGGATTATGTCTTAAGATTGTTTTCTATTATAGATGTTATTTATAATTCATAATTTTTCTCAAATCTTTCTTTTTTTTTTTCCCACTTTTCTTTTAAAATTATAAAAAAATTATTAACTTACATTATAAATATATTTAAAAGTTAATAAATATTTTATTTATGATTATTTTTTGATATATTATATCAAATTAATTATATCTTGATGAACTTTGACTTGACATATATATTGTACATACAAAATAAATAAATAATTATATTTATCTTGATAATAAAAATAAAATTTCTAGTAGTTATGTGTTATAAGTTAAAAATTAATTATAATATAAAGTTGTAAGTCGTTTAAGTGATAAGCGATATTTTAAATATAAATATTGATATAGTTTTTCAAAAAGAAAATAAAAATTAAAATAATTTTCTTATAGTTTAGTTTTAAATATAAATTTCTTAACAAGGTAATACACGAATATTGTATTAATGTTAATGATATATATTTGTAACAAAAAAAAATAGAGGCAAAACAAAAATAATTTTATTAAAAACTTTACCTATAATTATATACTAAGATACACGAAAAACGCACATAAATATGCACTCTCAACTGCGTGTATTGTGTGTGTATTTACACCATCACTTGGGCATGGGATTTACCAATAAAGAGGCTCTCAAGGCGTGAAGCCGCTGAGAAATCCCCACACGCACAGAATTTCTTCTCCACCCAAAAATGGCGAAACCCAGCAACAAAATCGGCGCCTGAATTCCTTCTCCATTTAATTGATACGGAAAAAGGGGAAAAAAGGCCTTATGGGCGCCGCTCATTCAAGCTACAAACTGCGTGCCCCTCCCACCGCCTCCACGCCATTACCGAAATTCTGAAGCTCTGTGATCGAGTGTCACTGAGTTTTGATCTCGGTTTTTTCCATTTTTTTTTTTTTTTGTTCGATCTGTTTTGCCTGTGAATTCTTTCGAAAATTTTGTGGATCGCGAGTGGTGTGAGGGAAAGTTATGGAGGAGAGCAGGTGGTGCCAGTGGAGTGTAATTCGATCCGTGTTGGCTATTGTCCAATGGTGGGGGTTCAATGTCACTGTCATCATCATGAACAAATGGATCTTCCAGGTTCGTTTTTTTAATTTGAGCTACACTTGTTACAAGTGTGAGATGATGAAATTGTTCGTTTAGGAGATTTATTTCTTTTTTTCCTTATTTATATGGACGCACTTTTCTGCATTTGCTCTCCTTTTCGTTGAAGAGGTTGATCTTTGTTTGTGTGTTTGTGTTAGATTCTTGCCGAGGTTCAGCTGGAATTATGGTTGTCAATCTGGATTTTGTTTCAGAATTCCTGTGTGTTTGTGTTAATTCTTGTTGAGGTTCAGCTGGAATTATGGTCGTCAATCTGGATTTTGTTTCAGAATTTTGACAAAGGAGAACCTAGAGATGGGTTTTCAGACCATCAAATTCTTTTCGATGCCCTTTGTTGTATTTTGTTGTTCCAGCTCTAATAATGATTTAAATTGTCAAAATTTCGGATTTTTGTGCTCTTGAGGTTTGTAGTTCAATCCTGTTCTAAACTTGTATCAGAACTACAAGTGATGAGTATTAAGTATTAATTTCTTGCCTTCTGTACTGTTGATTTTTGCAAATGAATTTATGTTTATTAATGTATTCTTTTGCGAATTTTAAAATCTACCAAAGTTAGAAACTTTCATCATGTTGCCTATGGAAAAATCTAGGACAACATATGGTCATTATAAGTAATAGGTTGGTGAGACCTTCATATATTTATTGATGATGTTTAATTAGTGTTGGTCTATCACTTGGTTTCTATTGTTATGAAACTCTCACATTGTCCTCTAACCTGGGTTGTGTATTCTACTAAAGTTTCAACTTTTACTGCTCTCAAGTGTACAAGGGATGAACATGTCTAATATTTTTTCATGCTGTTTTTGGAAATCAATTTAACTGCTATTGTTCGTATGTTCTTGACAGAAACTGGACTTTAAGTTTCCGTTGACTGTGTCGTGCATTCACTTTATATCCTCAGCCATCGGTGCCTACTTGGTGATTAAGGTGCTAAAACTGAAGCCTCTTATCACAGTTGACCCTGAAGATCGATGGAGAAGGATATTTCCAATGTCGTTTATATTTTGTATCAACATAGTTTTGGGGAATGTTAGCCTGCGGTATATACCTGTTTCTTTCATGCAGACTATCAAGTCTTTTACCCCTGCAACAACAGGTTAGTTTTTATCTAAAATCTTGCTTCAAAGTGGTTTTGGATGTTGTTCTTGCAATGGTATTTCACCACTTTTTCATGTCTGTGTTTGTGTTACATTAAAGGATGATTACAGAACTACTCTTTAGCTTGGGGTAATTATAAAAAGAAATATGAAATAAAAAAAATTATAATTAATGAGAGATCCCTTTGGGCTTGATTTTGTGAATGTACCTTAAGTTTAAGGGGTTAACTGAAATATAATTGGGATTACTTCTCTTTTTACGGATGAAGGGGGAGAATAGCAAATAGCTTCGTGTCATTTCCTTGTTCTGGGGCATAAAAAGAACCAGACTTCAAGAATGCCATTTTTCTGTAATTATAAAACCCACTTTAGTTATTTATGCAAAATACCCAAACCTTACAGTTGGCTTTTGTAATTATCATTTCACACTAATGATGAAATACTGTTGTTTGTTATTCTTCTTGAAACAGTCATCCTGCAGTGGCTAATCTGGAAAAAGTACTTTGACTGGCGAATTTGGGCTTCCCTGATTCCGATTGTTGGTGGGATTCTACTCACTTCTATCACAGAGCTCAGTTTTAACATGCTCGGCTTTTGTGCTGCTTTGTTCGGCTGTCTTGCAACGTCCACAAAAACAATTCTTGCGGAATCTCTGTTGCATGGATACAAATTCGACAGGTAATTTGTGATACCTAGCTTGTTTTCTTTAACATTGTTGGTAAAATAGGAATCTTTTCTGTATTCATTTTGTCAGTCTTTACTACCAAGATGACTCTTATTTTATTTTTTCTTTTGTCTTGTGAATTTTGTGAATATGTCAATTAGTTAGCAATTGGGACATAACAAAATACATTAATATAAAGGCCGGTTTATTTTATTTATTTCTAAAACAAAAAAAACTAATCTTCTAAGGTTTCGTCAGATCACAAAAGAATCCAGTTACTATTTCTTTTTATCAGTTACAAATAAACCCCTGAAACGTACTTTTTGTCTTCCAAAAGTTAATAATCTATGAGGTGAAGACGCGACTATTTGTTAGGTGAGTGAAAAGTGTAAGGACTGATTTGTGAGTTTAAAGACAAGTGGTTTTCTTTGTGATTAAACTAAAAGTTAGGCCAGTTTCTATTATCAACTTTTGTTTATTTGTTTTGCCAGATAAATTAAAATCACTGTACAAGCAATTCCTAATACTCTTCCCATGGCATTGTATATTTTTACTAAAATCCCGTGCTAATTAACCAACTTTTATTGATACTCCCAACTGTCTGACCTTAAGGAAATGGTTACCATATGCATTAATTCTTTTTTTTTTTTTTTGGGNTGGGATTGTCTATAATCTAGTTCTAATACCAAATCTATCTATTTTGTGTGACTACAGTATAAATACAGTATACTACATGGCGCCATTTGCAACAATGATCTTGGCTGTGCCAGCATTGCTTCTAGAAGGATCAGGTGTCGTCAGTTGGCTTTACATGTGCCCCTCTCTTTTCTCATCTCTGATGATCATATTCGGCTCGGGTGTATTGGCCTTTTGTCTCAATTTCTCTATCTTTTATGTTATCCACTCAACAACTGCTGTGACCTTCAATGTTGCTGGAAATCTTAAGGTGGGGTTCTCTTTCTCGAGTTATCGTATATCCTATTAGTCTCTAATTATTATACATTAATTAATATTAAAATCTTTACCAAAAAATATTCTTTTTGGACAAGTTATATTAATAACAACTAGTGTCAATTACAAAGGCTACCTGGAGATTTTGTCAAAATTGATGAAGGGATGAGCCATTTTTTTTCATTTTTACATACATCCCTAGTTTTCTTCAAAAAGTGAATAAATGGGATAGTGATTTATGTGTTTTTCGTGTAAGGTTGCTGTTGCTGTTACATGCTCGTGGCTGATTTTTCGTAACCCGATTTCCATGATGAATGCCGTTGGGTGTGGTATTACGTTAGTCGGGTGTACTTTCTATGGGTACGTGAGGCACTTGCTCTCACAGCAAGCGCCCGGGACCCCGCGGACCCCACGCAACAAAATCGAGCTCATCCCTTTGGTTAGTAGTGATAAATTGGACGACAAAGTTTGAGTCTTTTTTTTCGGGTGGGAAAAAATAGTGATCTGGGCAGCAAGGCAAGTATGATAAATAGGTGTTTTATTATAGATAAGGAGACAGTTTTATCTTTAGTAGTTAGTACCATTCACCCTTTCTGCACTTAGCAGGGGCAGAGGCCTAATTGAAATTTGANATGATCATAAATTATTACCCTATTGTCTTGCCAAGTTACAAGATACCCTTGTGATAATCTTTTTAAATTAAAATTACCCCATAAAAGTGAGAAAGTTTAGGCAATTTTCTACTAGTAGCTTTTTCTTGCACTTTGTAGGAAGAAAATTTCAATCTTGTCGAACACTAGCAAATTAAAAGCAGAAGACATTGCATTGCACACATAAATGGATTAGATAATATATATTCCAAGATGATACAAGAGATCTAGTTAGTAGTAGTTGTTTGAAGAGGTAAATAACTAAATATTACAACTGATGTTATTCTCCTTCGTGCCAATACCACATAAGTACTCTACACAATATTTTTCCAACGAAATTACATTATTTTCCAAAATAATTTCATAAAAAGTTATTATTTTATTTTAGGCCAGAAGCCAGAAATTCTTGTGCCATCTGGTGCTGATAAGGTAGCCACCAATTCCATTGCTCTGTTTTCTGACTCCAATTGTTAAGCACTCCAAAGTATTTATGCATTCTTCCACAAATTCATCTGTCTTGCTTCTGAAACAAAAGCTGAAAAAATACAAAGGGGGAAAAAAGGTGAGGGAAATGTAAATACAGCAACTGAGACAAATTTATTCAACAATTAAGTGTAACTGGATTTTTATTTTTATTTTTTCCTAAGTGAACAAAATTTACTTACCAATTGAGTAGTGGGGAGGGTTTCTTTTGACCTAAAACCAGCACAGAAACTTCTAGCTTTTTCACTTGGCTCATTACTGTGGCCATTTTTGGTCCTTGGATTACCAGTGCTTCTACTTCAACCTGTATGCACATCATTCACTTCTTTTCATAAAAAATTAGATGAAAACAAAACTGAAGGTGTCTTTGAAACTAACTTTTGTTTTTTTTCCTTTTTTTTTGGCCAGAGTACAGTGGAAAATTCAAAGGGCTCTGAAAAAGGCACCCATCAGTGTGAATTATTTTTATGCAGGGAAATGAAATTGGAAACAAAATGGCTCCTTAAAATGATGGACTTTGTTTTCCTCCTTTTGACTGAAAAGTTGCATGTGAGAAAGACAGAGGTGGAACAAAAATTGAAGAGAAAAAAACAAAAAATAGTAAAAGAACCTCCATCTTCACACAAGAGAGACAAAAAGGAGAGAAAAGAAACAATGTCTACAATCTAAATATATTTGCATTACAATAGAAGAAATGGGATCCACAAACACCATAAACACACAAACACACACAAAAAAAAATCCTCAAGAAGACAAACTGGCAAAATTCTCAGAACAATAAGTAGCCCAAACAAGAAAATATTAAATTTATACCTCTGGCTTGGATGCTTTGCAGAGTGAGGCAAGTGTAGTGGCAAGGTGAGGGCTTGCACAAGAAGAAGAAGAAGAAGAAGAAGAAGAAGAGTAAGACTGAGTAGCAGCATTTGGAGGCAAAATGTGAAGAAGAGTGAGTATATCCCCTTTGTTGGTGACATGTGTTAATGCCCACATCATAGCATGTTTTGACTCTGTGCTCTGTTCAACAATCACCATTACTCTCTTCTTCACCACTAAAACCCCACCATACAAACTGTACCCACTCTCCATTTGCTTCATACCCCACCTCTTGGATCTTGATTTCCAGCCCTGCTTCCTACTCAGCTGCCTCATCAAGGATGAATCTAAACTTGACATTTCTTCTT